ACAGCTGAGAAGATTAGAGCTATTAAAGAAGCCCCTACGCCTACTAATATCACGCAACTTAAAGCATATTTGGGCCTTCTATCGTATTATAATCGTTTTTTGCCTCATTTGCCTTCTACATTAGCCCCGCTTTATGAGTTGTTGCGTCATAATGTTACTTGGAATTGGTCAGCAGATGCTGAAGCAGCCTTTATTAAATCTAAAGAGCTGTTGACTGATGATAACTGTCTAGTGCACTTTGATAGCACATTGCCTCTTCTCTTAGCATGTGATGCATCGCAGTATGGAGTTGGAGCAGTTTTGGCTCACCGTTTCCCAGATGGTACTGAGAGACCGATTGCGTTCGCATCTCGTACACTGAGTGATACTGAAAAGAAGTATAGTCAAGTTGAAAAGGAGGGTCTGGCATGTGTCTTTGGGGTTAGGAAATTTCATTGTTACTTGTATGGTCATCATTTTTCCTTAATTACTGACCACAAGCCTTTACTGTCTTTATTGGGTGGTCAAAAGCCTATTTCAAGTCAATCATCAGCTCGTATTCAAAGATGGGCATTGATTCTAGCAGCATATGAGTATGATTTACACTTCAAGTCTTCTACTAATCATGCTAATGCAGATGCATTAAGCCGCCTTCCATTAAGTGAATCGATTAGTAATACTCCCCTGCCTCCAGAATTAATTCTTTTAATGGAGAGCATAGCCAATAGTCCTGTTACTGCTAAAAGTATTGCTGCTGCTACTAAATCAGACTCTACTCTGTCCCTAGTTCTACAATATCTGAAGTCAGGATGGCCTGATAGCTGTCCTGATGAGTCACTGAAGCCCTACTGGCATAGGCAGCACGAGTTATCTCTGCATGATGGTTGCATTCTCTGGGCTTCACGAGTTGTTATTCCAGCAAAATTTCGCCAACAATTACTACTGGAATTGCATGAAGGTCATTTTGGCATTACTAAATTGAAAGCTAGAGCACGATCGTGTATATGGTGGCCTAATATTGATACTGCTATTGAGGAAATGGTAAAGAGTTGTTCTTCTTGCCAGGAAAATCGTAATTCTCCTCCTGAGGCTCCCATTCATCCTTGGCCATGGCCATCCCGCCCTTGGTCCCGCCTTCACATTGATTTTGCTGGTCCTCTGAAGAATAACACTATGCTACTAGTAATTGTGGATGCATTTTCTAAATGGATTGAAGTATTTCCTATGTCTACAGTTACTTCATCAGCTACTATCTCTAAATTAAAAATGCTTTTTGCACAGTTTGGTTTGCCTGATACTATTGTCTCTGACAATGGCCCGTCACTCGTAAGTCAAGAGTTTGAATCGTATCTCACTCAATATGGTATTCGCCACATTACCTCTTCACCATACCATCCTGCCTCTAATGGGTTGGCTGAAAGAGCTGTTCAGCTAGTCAAGAATGGTCTTAAGAAAGATGCTGATGGTACACTGTCTGAGAGACTTGGACGTATTCTCCTTAATTACAGGGTTATTCCTCATGGTACCACTGGTGTTTCTCCCTCAGAACTGATGTTCAGACGTATTATTAAGTCTAAGGTGGATTTGGTGAAACCAGATCTTACCACTCGAGTAGAGAATAACCAGTATAAGCAGAAGGATTTCCATGATCAACACTCTCGTACTAGGAAATTTTTAGTAGGGGAGGGAATAATGTATAGAAATTTCAATGGAGATCCAAAGTGGAAACCAGGGAAAATTACAAAGTACCTTGGTTCACTATCCTTCTTGATTCAAGGAGATGATGGAACTAATATCAGGAGGCATATTGATCATATTATTAAGAAGAAAGAGTTTATGGTACCCGAGGATGATCTTACATCATTTCCGAAAACTCGTCAAATGACGGACGAAACTCGTACTACTCGTTCTCCATATCCGACTCGTTCTCGTCGTCCTCCAAACCGGTACGCCCCTTTCCTTAATTAAGTTGGGGGGGATGTAGTGACTGTATTTGCATACACGAATTATTATTGTTATTGTTATAATTATTATTGTTAGTGTTATTATTGTTGTTACTATTATTGTTATTATTATTATTATTATCATTATTATTATTGTTGTTAATACTAAGGATTGAGAGATATTATTATTATTACTATTGTTATTATTGGTTATTAGTGATTATGTTAGTTATGATTAGTTATGAGTGTGAGTGGTGAACATGTGTACTGTTACTATTTTTAGAATGTTAGAGAGTTCTTTGTCTATTGTTATTCTATTGTCAGTCAGTTCTCTCTCGTGCTCTCTCCCTCATGTATTGATTGTCCTGGACATTCTCCCTCTCTTCTTCCTTCTTTTTTAACTTAAAAGTATAATTATAACACTATCAACTGTTGCGCCAATACTGCGCGTTAGCAGCTGATAGCACAGTGAAGGGAGTAAACATCACAGTGACTGGTTTTTTTGGATTATTGCTAAGACTTTCTTGATTACTATTGTATTTTGATTATTGGATTCTTTTACTAAAAAGATTTTTCTTTTCTGCGAATCCCTCACATATGGTGTACCAATGGGCTAAACCAGAAAGCTAGAAATATTAAAGAATCTGCTGGACATTGCACTGTATCTGTTTTATGAGATGATTAGCCTCACCAATCCTTTCCAACCAACTTCTGTAGCTTGAAAGAGTAACATCCAGACTATTCAAAAAGTGCTTTTATAGTTTAGTAAGTTTACTTCATTCTTTCTCCATTGAATCTTGCTATCCAAATTGGTGGTCATTATTACGCATACAATGTAGATGGTCAAAATAATGATATTTATATGCTGCCTTCATCAGTCACAGCTACAGCTCTCATGGTCTATTGCTGCCTACATTAATGGAATACATCTGCTGATGATGAAACTGGCAAAAACTTGCTTTTACTGCTGAATATTTGTAATGTGATATTATATG